CAAAATACACATAGTCCTGGACGTTTGGGACGTTTTATTTTGCAGCAACATCACAGTGCGTGGAGGAGAGTGGAGATGATCCTTCTGCTCTCATTCCCTGTCTTTCCCAATAAGTCAATGACAGCGTCGAGCGATCCCTCCCTCCTGCATATTGGGTGGTGTTTCAGTGATGCCGACACTCAAGTGGCCCCCAGAGCCTCAGCAGTGCGGCACGGGCGAGGTGTGGAAGGAGTGCGTGAGCAGTTCTTGCGCCGAGAAATCTTGCAGGCGGCGTCGGATGGGTCCCGGCTGCACGCTCGACTGCCGCTATGGCTGTTACTGCGCTGAGGGCTTCTACAGGAACGCCGACGGCGCATGCGTGACCATCGACGAGTGCCCGCCCGGGGAACAGGACCAATCGCAAACCCGTAAGTTCCCTCAACCTAAAACCCCTCGTTATTCCCGACGCAACCAATCACGGGTATAGTGACCACGCGCGCCGTTATCCCGCGCTTTCTTCTATGCGTGATCGGTTTAGCCGGGAAAAGCACACGCGTAAAGACGGCGAGCAACGTGAGTGCGCGGTCGGACTTGGCGTGAAACCCGGAGTGCATAGCGCAGCATCCAATCGACCCATCGGATGAGTCACGTGACTGCTCTCAACAGGTTGGTTAATGTAAGAGTGCCCTGATAGAAGAAGGGCCCATATCGATCCATGGGGAGCATTTTCAATTTAATGGCGGCCGCTTTCTGCGGTGATGGAGACGAGCGTTCCCTCAGCGTTCGACTGTCACTCGCGTCCTTATACTCATTGAAGACGAGACCGGGCGGAACGCTGGCAGCGGTATACTCGAGCCCAATGTACACCGCGGGAGTTCCTGAGAAAAAGAGAACCCTGTTTTTCGGAGGGAGTTTTCGTAGACCGCGTTCTCCCATTCCGCTAAGCCCTCCGCAACGAAGAAATCGCTATACTGCGCCTGCGCGCCGATGGCCTTGACTGTAGAGTTCCGGGTATTGTAGCGGGTTGGCGGAGAGCGTTGCGGGACGGCGAAAACGATCTACGAAAACTCCCTAATGCCTGCCGACAGCGGCAAATAGCGGGTTCGAGTCGCAAACGAAGCCGCCGAGAAGAAACACTTGTTTGTGCTCCCACACAAGATGGCAGACACAACGAAGATGCAGACAATTAGTGTTTGAAAGGATGGAAAACATTTTGGAAGCATTTGTCCAACTTGCGAAGAGTCAGTTTGGTCTGGGACACGGGCTGGATCAATATCCCCACATTGTTATTATATATATATATATATATTTTTTTTTTACTGTGGTGTAATAACACGTTATTACACCGCGGTAAAAAATAAAATAAAATATTGAATGGGTGGTGTGGAGCTCGACGCTTGAACACGCATTATAAGTTTAAGGGTTGTGGGGAAAGGGGGCGCATTAAAAAAAACAAAAACAACTGAATATTAAAAATAAACGAGAAGGTATTAACAATACAGCATAAAAAGAGACGTTGCCAAGCCTCCTTCTGACCCTTGTCAAATGAACCACACCGATTTAATAATTTTATATTTTCAAGGGGCACTGAAGTTATTTTTGAAAAAAAGGACGCTTTTGATCTTACAGTGTTTCAGATGTGTTACTTCTCACATATACCGAGTCCTATATTACAAAACCGCTTATTCATCTCAGGGCAAAAGAAAAACGTGTGGACTCTTTTTTCTCGCGAACTACAGGGTGTGGACCACCGAAGGCCCTACAATACGCGCAGATTCCGAACAATTTTATTAGAACTCGTTTCTAAGAGAGTCTTATAGGTACTCATTCGGATATGACTCCTCTTTTTCACCGCGGGCGAAGCCATCGCTTGCAACTCATCGACAAGCGCCCTTCGTCGGCCACTTCACTGGGAAGAAAAATCTTCGCAAAAACGGCGTGTCGCGATCTTTAAGCTATATACGATTGTGATTTTGGGCTATTGTTTGGATGTTTAGAGCGTCTAGATTGAGTTGTCACCACAGAGGGACGATCTCAAAACCAACTTGAGTGCCCCTTTAAGGTCCTCTAAGCTGTGCGCACTGTGCTAATGTTAATATTTCGAGAACTATCGTGAAGCCGCTTGCGTGTATACATATTTCAGAAATTCAGAGTTTATGTTGATGATGCGTACAGCGTGCTGCTCATTGTATGCTATATTAATCCAGAAAGAAGTTGACATAGCTCACGCGGGACCCAAGCAAACAAAAACGCCAGTTGCCGGCGCTTTGGGTTCGGGTGGACGTGCGTTCTGAAGCACAGCTCCTAGATGGCGTTTCACCGCATACTCTATGGAACACGCAGTTTCGAAACGAAAATCTAGATGGCGCTTCAAACGACGGGAGGCGGACTCAAGGGAGTGAAAGGGGGTACCCCCCTCCGCCGGGGTTCCACAACTGAGGTTATCTTGTAACGTAGACTCCCGACTGCTTTGCACGTGCCGCTTGTGAGAGAACGGGTGCAGCCTCTTGAAGGCTTTTTAAAGAAGCCTTCAAGTAAGGCTTAAAGGCGTGGAAATGTTAAACTCTCGTACGTCACGATTCACTCCTCCCACCCAACGCGCCGGGAAGGAGGGGCTTCAGCGGTATTTCCAAATCGCTTTTTTGGTTACTTGGCGCATAAATCTGAAATATAATTTTGATATTCGTGATTCTAGAGGCCCGGTAAAGACGATGTCGGTGATTTTTTTTTTCTCAGGTACAGAACCAGTGCCGTTTTCCTTTAATCATGCGCGAATCAATGCTATCTTTCATTGGATCTTGCAGAGTTTAGAAACGACAAATTATCGGGCCTTGGGTGGTACAGGTTTTGAACACCTAAGTGAGATCGACCCTTTCCGCGAACTGCAATGCAATACACCCAGAAAAAAACATTGCAGTGTTTAAACATTCTCTTGACTAGCACGTGGGACTCACTAGTTGAAGAAATTGTTTCTTTAACCCGTCACAGAATTCATTGTTCGTCAATAATACGGAAATAGTTTTTGTCGCCTGCTGTTATCATCGCATGACCACTGTGCATGGCCGACTTGTCTTTCTGCGTCGAAGCGGCTCTCAGACTCAGGCCGTGTGAGCAAATATCAATTAAAACTGCCTATTATTTGCAACCTTACAAAAACGTACGTGTGTCCCTCGTAATAATACCTTTCAGACACGGCGAGGTAATCTCACGCAATAAGTAAATAAGAAAATGACCGCGTCTCCACGTGGTGAATGATGCTGATTGGGGCGAAGCTCTAATGGTGCTGATGATACTGACTTTATTGTTCATAGGTAGTGCTGATAGTGCTGATTTTTTTTTATTGTTCGTAGATAGTGCTGAGTTCCGGGTTGCGTTTCGATTTCATTATTACTGCTTTATGGTCGGTGAAATGCAGAGCCAGTGGTTCTTCTAGCGGATCAGCTTGGATCCGCCAGAAGCCGTGGGAACGCATCTCCGCCGCTTAAGTCAACGGTCCATGTTAGAAAGAGAAGGTGTGGTATGGGATGTGTGGTGTGGAGACACAACGAAAAGGCAGACAATTAGTGTTTGAAAGGAAGCAAAACATTTTGGAAGCAATTGTCCAGTTTGCGAAGAGTCAGTTTGCTCTCGGACACAGGCTGGATTAATGTCCCCACATTATTACTATATATATATTTTTTTACAGCGAGTTAATAACATGCTATTACACCGCTGTAAATATAAAATAGTGTATAGATGGTGATGCAGCTCGACACTTGAACACGCATTATAATTTCAAGGGAGGGGGGTGCAATGAAAAGAAAAAAAGTATTAAAAAATGGCAATAACAATATAACATGAAAAGCGACGCAGGCAAGCCTTCTTGGGATCCTCGTAAAATGAATGGCAACAGTTCCTCGGCAATCCAAACGGAATATATTGAAATTGACACGTGTCTGCGGGTAGCACCACACTGATTTATTAATTTTATAATTTAAGATACTCTAAGCTGTGCGGACTGTGGTCATGTTAATATTTCGAAAACTATTGCGAAGCCGCTTGCGTTTACGCACATTTCAGAAAATCAGAATTTACGTTGTTGATGCGTATACAGCGTTCTGCTCATTGTATCATAGCTGAATCCAGAAAGAACTCAACGAAGCTCATGCTCGACCCAGGCAAACAAAAACGCCAGTGGCCGGCAGTTGCCGGCGTTTTGTGTTCGGGTGGAGAGGATCGCGTGGTGCACCGCCTGCGAGTTTTTGGTCGCCGGCGATTGGTCACCTGAATTCGCCATTTGTGAACATGACCTTACCTAAACCAAAAAATAACTGAAAAAAAAAAAACTAATCTTTTTTATGAAGAACCGACGTCCACCTAGGTAGCGTCAAAACGAGAAATGACATTCTGGTCACCTGTGTACATCTATAGGGTGTCCCAAGTCACCAGGCTCGGTCTAAAATGGACCGTGAACATCGAAACCTGCAAGTAGCAATCTACGCTTTTCGTCAAAGGTGTATTTCACAAGTCAGTTTTATCTCGTAAAATTAGAAAGCGTAGCTCTCTTTCTGTAAAAAAGAAACAGGGGCAGGAAACTTGCCATGGTCAACGGCAGGCGGCGACGCAGGCGACCCAGTCGAGTGGCGGGCCGCGCTTGGCGCTCGTTACGTGCAGAAACGGTTTCCAAAAACTCCCTATTATTTAGAGTTTTAGGGAACCGTTTTTGCACATGGGATACGGTACGATGGGCCTTCCGGTACGAGCTGCGCATGTGCGAACCTTCTGCGGTTGCACATGCGCAGTTCATACCGTAGAGCCCATCGTACCGTATCGGATATGCTAAAACGGTTCCCTAAAACTCTTTATTACGATTGCGGCATTAAGCAAATCGCGATGCAAGGAGCGTGAAAATGTTAAGCCACGCTCTGCACTGTTCAGACAGCGAGGTAAGCTGAACAAAGAAATAAAGGATAATTGGCGTATAGCTGGACGGATGGTAGTGGCTATATACCCTTTGTATCGGGTGGTGGTTTCAGTGTCGCCGTGGTATCGAGGGCCTCCGTCTCCTCGGCAGTGCAACACGGGCGAAGTGTGGAAGGAGTGCGCGAGCAGTTCTTGCGCCGAAAAGACTTGCACACGTCGTCATGTGGGGCCCGGCTGCACGATGGACTGCCGCTACGACTGCTTCTGCGACGAGGGCTTCTACAGGAACGCCGACGGCGCCTGCGTGACTGCTGACCAGTGCCCGCCCGAAGAAAAGGGCGAGTTACAATTCCGTAAGTCCCTTCCACCCAAAACCTACCAATGACCGGAACAGCTCTAGCCAACGAACCAGTTGCAAGAATCCCCGATGGACATCTACCGCGCGAAACTGGTAACGCAGAATCCAATCGTATATACATCAACGCGTTGCTCTGACACGGCGCATGCGCAAAAGCTTTAATTCACTGGTTTCTGCGCACGCGCAATGCCAGTGTGCAATCTGTGCTCCGCGATGACCTTCGGTATTGGTGACGTCACAAATACAGCGTGCGCAGCCTTGCTACCTAGGAGGTGTCGGTCCTTTGGAGTGTCGGATTCAAGCAGGACATCATAGATAGCGAAGCCTAGTGCCGCGGTCACAAAGAGAGCCTGCAAACAATGTCTAAAGGCCTATTTTTTTCCTTGTATAACAATTTTGTCATATCCGTTATAACTAAGAATAACATATATTTATATATATATCTATACATACATGTTAAAGTTTGATTATGCTGTCAAAAATTGGTAAGCACAGAATGTGTGATAGACCTTCGAGGGAACAGGAGAAGCTTGGTGTCTGAACGGCACCACCTACCGTAGATTCGCTCATTTCTGACACACGCCGCGAGATGGCGCGGCGTGGCAAGAGGCCGGTAAGCGCGCGATCTCACCTTCGCGCACCGCTCCAATCAGTTCGCTCTTCCGTGATCCGACAACTAACTAGCTCAGTCGGCAAATCACTTGGCTCACAATCTCAATCAAGGTATAGTCCGTTGCAACTGAAGGAGGTAGGGTGAGGGGAAAAAAAGGCCGGGGCGGAAGCAGGCGGAACGCTGTAGAGGGGAGGAGGTTGCCCCTCTCCTCTCCATCGTTCCGTCTGTTTCCTCCTCCTCGGCCTTCCTTTGCCTCGCCCTACCTTCTTGAGTTGCAACCTGTCGGCGACTGAGGTTTTCTATGCGTTTTTTTATAACGCTACCGTAACGCTTCCCGGTGTCGGTTTTTTTGTTACAGTCCAATGTTGCGGAACTCCGTTAAAATCAACTGATAAAACATTTCGAACGTGATTGAGGTGCGCCCGCACATAATTTTAAAGCGAAAGCGTTAAGGAGCTTCTGTCGCAGAAAAGTCGGCGGCGTTGCGGCGCGAAAATCCTGATTGGTCAATAGGGTCATGACGTCACAGCTGCATGACCTTGCGCGGGAATTTCAAACAACCCACAACGCTCACGTGAAATGTGACGTCCCCCGTGGAATGGAAGTGAATAAAGAACATGACATGTAATCCGAATTAAAGGTCGCCGCATGTCTCAAATGATTTCACTTCATAAAGTAATTATTTTGCCCTAAAGAAAAATTTGAAGATATTTAGGCAGTATTCGAACACACGACCCTTCGGTTGCGAACCAGGCAAGCCACTGACAAGGCCATGTTCACCGCACGTCCCGCTCACTGGGAGGAAGAGCAAAATAATCGAATGAGAAGCCGATGCAAACGGGGCCCTATCGCGTTCCACTTTTAAAGGCGAAGCTTAAGAGTCCTCAAATTTTTTTTTTTCAACATGCCTGTAGCGAACACAATGTCTTTCGTGTGGTGATTGCGAAGTGCGACTGCGGTTTTAGGATGAACTACTGACCGCTGCCAGCCTGTTGAGGCAGTCAACGCCCACCGAACCCTTCTATCTCGCAGCTCCTCCTAGCTGGATGCCCCAGGCCAAGCCCTGCGAAGAGGGCGAAGTGTGGAAGAGGTGCGTGAGCAGCTCCTGCGCCGAGGAAACCTGCGAGAGGCCGTGGCCGATGATGGAGTGCACCGCGGACTGCAGGCACGGCTGCTACTGCGGAGCGGGCTTCTACCGCAACAGCGCGGGGAGGTGCGTGCCGCTGTCGGAGTGTCCCCAGGCGCGCGTGGAAGAGGTCACTAAAGACATCGAATGAGTTTGACAAAGCATGTGCAAAATACACACACAAACAAAAAGAAAGAAACTAAAGAGAGAGTAGAATAAAGCAGATTTGAATTGGGGAAGTTGCTCTTCGTGTGTTTCTTTTCAAGGAGTGAATGGTTTGCGTTTTTGAGTGGTCTACAACGACAGGGTGAATTGAGGTTTGAGTCAGCAGCAGAAACAAAACTTGCAAGATGTAACCCGCTCGTCACTCAGTGGACAAATTTCGCTACACAAACATGAATTTCTCGATACTTTGTTAGGCACTGTGCGCGCAACACTTCTAAAGAGCCGAAGAGGCATTAGGGAGTTTTAGAATAGCGCACGCTACTGCTTTGCGCACGCAAAGAATAGCGTCGTCGCTACTGCGCATGCTCCGAACGCAAACCAGGTTTTGCGCTTTGCGTGCGCAATTTTAGCGTGCGCTATTTCTCGGAAATAGCGTCCATACGCAAAGAGTCTTTGCGCTTCTCCAAGGAGGATTCGTGATGAGAAGTTGGCCAAAGCCAAGACGAGCAGAGTTGCAAAAATGGCGGCTTCCAGGATCATGTCGGCGGCTGCTTTGGCGGTGTCGTGAGTGCGACGTCGGCATCATCCTCGCGACTCCGATTTCCAATACGGTATGACATTGCCCTCTGTTTGGCAACGATCACCGGCAACTTGATGCTTGTGACGCGCGAACATTTCTCGGCGAAGGTACAATGTGCAAAGGTCAGTACACGAGTGACGAGACCTCTCTTGCCGAGGCGACGCAAGCGGACACGACCGGTCAACCGCTCGCGTCGCGTTCTTATGTTTAAACAAATCTAAAATGGTACTTTGGACTAAAAAAAATTTTTTTTTTTTTTTTGTTACAGCATTTTGGGAGCGAAACAAAAATTGTGACTGTATCTTGGTGGCGTCGCAAGCGCGAGATGCTTGGGCTTTTGCGTCGTGACGGAGAAACACTATTCTAAAACTCTCTTGCGTCGCGTGCGCTAATACAAGCACTAAATTTAGCGCTAGCGTGCGTTAATATTGCGTACGTTATTCTAAAACTCCCTATTGCCTCTTTCTGTTTAAAGGGAAACTGAAGCGGATTTGTATTTGAGGAAAAACACTTAAATCGTCTTCGTTTAGCCTCCAGGATCAGGAATATCGAGATTATTTTTATTTTCAATTTGGTGCACGGATGCTGCAGAAATTAATTGCCAATACTGCTGAAGCCCATCCTTTCCGGGGCGTGACGTCATATTAGGAGCTTTCGGAATCTCTGCTCACGCGCACCTTCAGCGCCCATCAAAGCTATGCACGCGCACTCTTGCTATTTTCCAAAAGTAAAAAAAGAGACGTCGCAACTGGTGCCAGCGCGAGAGAATATACTTGGCGAGCTTGCAATTGCACGCGCTGCCCACAGGAGTGACACACTAGTAGCGTTGACGAACGGGCTAGTTGGTAGTTCATTGTAACGGGTAAAAAAACAGCGCAGTTTTTTTACCCGTTATTGTGAGCGACACACGCCTGGCGACCGAAAAGCCCAAGTATGACGTCACGACTGGTTGGAGGTTTTTCGCGTTTTCTCGCGTTTAGTTAGACCTTCGGGAAAAACGAACGTGATATTCAGAGTCACGCGATAAAAATACGCCAGAATTCACTCCTATACTCCGTCTCACCCTACGATGGATTAAAGCCGAATGCTACGGACCCTCGGGTCCAATCACAAGCCTGTTAGAAACCACGTGGTATATTTGCTCCGTCGTACGTAGCAGTCCGCCAAGACGCGCCATGGGGAGGCGAGTTTTTCGTCTGCTTATCGAGCCCTCGCGGCGGCTCTGTCTGCTTGCTACTACTGAAGACTACCGAAGGGATTAAATACCGTCTGGAAGCGATGGGGCGAAAAGAACCCAGGATCAAAACCAATGACCATTAAGAAATGAAGACGAGTTGGATAAAGCATTCGCCACGGGAACGTCTGTACGGACCGCATCCGGCAGGGAGACGCGGGTCAGGGTAAGTTTTACGTACACAAAGGTTGGATTGGGTTGTTATGGCTAAGGCGAAACTACATTATGTCGGTGTTGCCTGCACGCCGTCCAACTTCTCCATACAGTTTACATGTTCACGAAATATGGCAAGAATGTTTTTGAAACTAAATACCATGTACGTTTACGTCACCAATATAAAATAGCGCGGTATTATAGCAGAGAACGATATGCGACAGATTAGTGCGCTCTTCGTAGTCTGCGTGTCGGAATTTCTCTCGCGCACTCTTTCGCAATGCGGATGCAAGCTTTTCTGAGGTAGTGCTCCGCCTGCCAGCATTCGGGCCCTCGTCCACCGTAGGACTCTCAGTAACCGCTCGACTCGAACGGCTGCTGAGAGCTTCGGATCACGATACCCGGCTCAGGCGCCGTGTCGTTGGCGGAATTTGCCGCACGCTTGCATCAACTCCCCGCAAAATCCAGGTTGCAGAACGTTGGATAATAATCTTTTGGCTCACCATCGCACTGCGGATACTGCTCTCTCTTCTGGTTGCCGTATTGCCTTCGCGATTTCGTCACTTCACGCCACCTTGAGGTAACCCTACGAATAAAAGAATACGGCGCAAGATCACCAGGGAGACTTCATAACGAAATGGCACCAGGCTACGAAGACTGCTCCTTGTCTTCGGCCATATATATATATCTTAAATAAAATGTTGGTCGTCTTACCAACCGTTTCAGACCGTTTTAACTTTGAGTCTGGAACGATCTCAGACGCTACAAGTGGTGGCCCGGAAAATACGCTTTTTCGTAAGCGAGCCCACTATCGCGCCATCCCTGCGACGAACAGAAACTCCCGGCCCCGCTAACCTCCCTCGTCTCCCGGAGGCTACTTCCACCGGGTTGCCAACTTGTCGAAAGCCAACTCGTCGACGGCCAACTCGTCGGCGGCCCATTCGTCGAATAGGCCAATTCGTCATAGGGCAATTGGTCGAAGGAAAACTCGTCGAAGAGGCCAACTGGTCGCCACTGTTTCAAAGCCATAAATATATCCTGTCAGTAATGCGTAATACTGCCGCACGGTAATAGACCTCCAGTGTGCTCTTTCTTGTCGAAGATAACGACTTGCAGCTTTCGCCGCTTTCACGGTGCAGTGGGGGACTATCACTACGTCGCGCGTGTATCACAGGGCAGCGTAAGGCCCGTTCGCTTGCAGAGGGAGTTTCTACACAGAGGCTCGCCTCCGACGCTTCCCTTGTGTCAGGTGTTAATTTCCGCTTCCCCCGTCAGTGCACTGGCGGTGCCATGCGGCCGGGGGTCGGGGAGTCCAGGCCAGGGGAGAGCGGGCGCCACCGTGGTGGGCGCCGGCGGTCTACTAAAGCTCGGTCTACTAAAACTCGCTATTAGCGAGTTTTCGTAGACCGTGTTTCCCCCTCCGCTAAGCCCTTCCGCTACCCGGAACTCTACAGCCAAGGCCATCGGCGCGCAGGCGCAGTGGCAGTTTCTTCGTAGCGGAGGGTTAGCAAAGGGGGAAATACGTTCTACTAAAACTTGCTAATGCTGCGTACGCCGCCAGTGATGGGCCGCCGGATTGGAGCCGTGTAGTCGCGTCTTACGAGTCTTGTGTGCGAAGAGACGCCAGTGAAACGACCGAGCTGTGTGTGCGACTGCGTGCGGATGAAAAAGCTTTTCTAAAGTTGGAAGGCTTTCTTTTGCATGCTTTCACTTCATTCATAACATAAAAAAATAAGCTCCGGTTTATTGTCGTCTCTTACCAGACACTTGTAGAGCCCACCCTCCCTCCGACACAAGTGCCCTCCCTCTGGCTTGTTGCCTGGTACACATCTTATGCTTTCACCCACATGCCCTTCAGCTTCGGAATCTCTGTTGCTCTTGGGCTTGGGCACAAACAAATTGTAAGAAAATGTGCTTTGATGTCTTGCCCAGTTAGAAGACACATCACATGTCCGCTCGGCTTGAGGCTGCAACACCTGCTTCTCCGTGTCACCTCTTTCAGCAGAAGCACGGAAGTGCACTGCATTACCTGGCACGAAATGTATCTGCAGTGGCAGGGCGCCTAGGCAAAATAACTGGAGTTCAATATTTTCCAAGGTTCCCGCCTCTAAAGAAAATAAAAAAAATAGAAAGTAACTTAAAAATAACTTTAAAATGAGTACAAGTTACTTGAAAAAAGTATTTAGGTTAGAGTACTAAATACTGACGTTCGAAAGTATTTGCAAGATGCCAAGTTACTCACAAAAGTATTTAAGATACAGAGTACAGTATTTAAGTTACGTACAAGTCTGGTCGAGTTCTTCGTACGAGGCTTTGCGCTCAGATTGCTGTCGTTTTTTGGCTGTCTATTTCACAAAATTTCACTGTGCAAAATATTTTGTTCTATTTTCTTTTATAACTCGCACATCAACATCATTGTTTGGGACAAAAGTAATTTCAAAAGTAATGAGTAATTTTGTCGAAATTACTGTCTAAAAGCAATTAATTAGACTACTAAATTACCAGCGCGTAAAAGTAATTATTACTCATTACCACAAAAAGTAATTTAATTACTGTGATTTCATTACAGTAATGTCATTACTGCCATTTCTGGCCAGGAAGGGCCTAGCCTGCTTGGTCCCCCCCCTCCCCCCTCTTTCCCTGTGTGCACGTCTATAATTCTAACCAAACCTAGGTAAAAGCTTGGTCTGCTGGGCAAGTTGGTAGTGGACATTCATATTAAAAATAACGCAAAAGAGACGGGACAAAAAGACGAAGAAGCACACACGACAAACGCTAACTGGCAACAAAACTTTATTGAAAGCTTCCAACTTTGCTATCGCCATGCACGCGCTTAGTCTCGTTCAACAGAAAGAGGGCGTACCGCCAAATCCGCACGTTCATACCGCCCACCGCCTGTTCCAAAAAAGTCAGCAAAACAGCTACATCACTCCGCCGCACAATCCGAACGAGGAAAGGAATAGAAAAAACGCCGCGTTAATATTATCAAGTTAGATAGTGTTAATGAAACTACACTCTTTCGGCTGCATATACACCGATGCGACGCTTATGCAAACGTCTTTGTCACAATCATGTATTTTTGCCGCCTCCAGCAACTCTCGTTC